AAAAAAAAAAAAGACCCTGTCTCACCGGGGATGCTGGCACATGTTTGTAATCCCAGCACTCAGGAGGCTGAGGCAGGAGGATCACTGCAAGTTTGAGTCCAGCCTGGGCTACATAGTGAGTGAGTTCCAGGTCAGTCTCAACTACATAGTGAGACCCTGTCTCAAAAAACCAACCAAATGAAACAACCCAAAACCAAAAACAAAAATAAGACCCTGTCTCACAAAACAAAAAATCATGTCTGTACTGAACATATTCAGATTTTTTAAAAATCATAGTTCCCTAAAAATATAGGGAAACAACTATTTACATAGCATTCACCTTGTATTCGGATTATACATAATCTAGAGCAGGAGCCCTCAATCCCCAGGGCACGGATCAGTGTCCAAGGGTGGCCCATTAGGATATCAGCTGCACAGCAGGTGTGTTGCAGTTGAGGGAGAGAAAGAAACTTCATCCGCATTTCCAGCCACTCCCCATGGCTCCAATCACCGCTTAAACTCCACCTCCTGTCGGATCAGCGGTTGCATTAGATTCCTCTAGAAATTTGAACCATATTTTGATAAGCTCACTAGCTAACCCTGGCCATATTAAGCAACAAACAAATGTCACTGGAGAGCTTCTCTGGAAAAAGGAAAGACCCAATGATGAGACTGAGGAAGACTAAAACCACAACAAAAAGCAACATGCATTTGAAAGAAAATACCAAGAGGCTGAGCTGGGTGGCGCACGCTTGTAATCCCAGCACTCAGGAAGCTGAGGCAGGAGGATCGCTGTGAGTTCGACACCAGCCTGGGGTACACAGTGAGTTCCAGGTCAGTCTCAACTACCTAGTGAGACCCTGTCTCAAAAAAAAAAAAAAAAAAAAAAAAAAAAAGAAAAAGAAAGAAAATACCGAGTCTTACTTAAATTATAGGTTTGTTGCAACAAGGGATTCACATTTTCCAAGTCTACTTTGTATTAGTGGTGAGCTGTATGATGATTTCATTATTACACATTACAATGCAATAATAGCAAGTACAGCACACAATAAAGGTAACCCCCCATCCATGGAAAAACTATCTTCCATGAAACCAGTCCCTGGTGCCAGAAAGGTGGGGGACTCTGCTCTAGAGATTATGTCAAGGCCCAGGGGGATGTGTTTTTATACTATTTCATATGAGGGACTTGAACATCCTCGGATTGTGGTTTCCACAAGGGGACCTGGACCTACTCTCTGTGGAGACTGAGGGACACAGCCCCTAAGTGCAATCTACATTTTAATATGTTCAGTCCTACCTGAGACTTGTTACACACTCCACAGAGGAAAGTTGTCTGTAATTTATGTAAAATTTTCATGATTCTTTTGCTTTGCTTTTCCCCGTTAGTTTCTAGACATATTCCAAATGACAACCAAGAGGTTAGAGTTGACTTTTTTTTTTTTTTTTGGTTTTTTGAGACAGGGTCTCACTATGTAGTTGAGACTGACCTGGAACTCACTATGTAGCCCAGGCCGGTCTCGAACTCACAGAGATCCTCCTGCCTCAGCCTCCTGATTGCTGGGATTACAGGCATGCACCACCACGCCCAGCTGAAGTTGTCATTTCTTGGCAAATGAATCTTTTAAGAACCTGCCACATGCTGCAGATTATTTAAATATCCTATAGAAATGATATTTAGTAAAATTTACATAGCACAGGGAGGCAAATGGAATGGTCTGTCCCCATATGTTATTGATCATAGTCACTGCTGAGTGATAAAATTAAGTGAATGGTTTTTAGTATTTGTTTTCCTTTTTTTTTTTTTTTTTTTTTTTTTTTTT